TACTACGACTACTACTACTACTACTACTACTACTACTACTACTACTACTACTACTAAAAATACCCACCACCACTACTATGACGACGACGGCTACTACTACTACTACTACTACTACTACTACTACTACTACTACTACTACTACTACTACTACTCGGGCAGACCGGGCCCTGGGTGCGAGCCGCCGCCGCGGCCGCCGCCGCGGGGCCGCCGCCGCGGTCGCGGCGACGGCGGCGGCTGGGGGCATCAGTCGGCCTCTTGGGGGCCTTCTGGGGCCTGCTGGTGGCTTGCTGGGGGCCTCTTGGGGCCTCTTTGGGGCCTCTTGGGGCCTGCTGGGGCTCCCGTGGGTCGTCTTGGGCGCCTCTTGGGTCGTCTTGGGGTTCTTTTGGGCCGTCTTGGTGCCCTCTTGGAAGCCTCTTGGGCCGTTTCGGGGCGCTCCTGGGGGCTTCTTGGAAGCCTTTTGGGCCGTTTCGGTGCCGCCAAACACCGCCTGGGCGAGGAGGGCGAAGGGGAAGGATGATGCGGGGTTGTCATATAAGCAACGCATGAGAAACACATAAGAGACGTATAGGAAACTTATAAGAAACGTTTAGGAAACGTATACAAAACGTATAGGAAACATATAAGAAACGCATAGGAAACATACAGGAAACGCAAGGGAAACGTAAGGGAAACGTATACAAAACGTATAAGAAACATATAGGAAACTTATGGGAAACATTAAGGAAGCGTATACAAAACGTATAGGAAACATGTTGGAAACGCATACGAAACATATAGAAAACGTATACAAACCATATTGGACACGAAAAATCATGTAGGAAACGTATACACAACGTATCGGAAACGTATAGGACACATACAGACAACGTATACAAAACATACAGACCACGTATACAAGACATATAGGAAACGTACGCAAACCATAGAAGAAACGTAAACAAAGCAAATAAGAAACGTATACGACACATCTAAGAAACGGATAGGAAACATGTACGAAACATATAAGAAACGTATAAGGAACGTATCAGAAACGTATAGGAAACATATAGAAAACGTATACGAAACATATAGAAAACATATAAGAAACGTATAATAAACGTATAGGAAGCATATAAGACACGTATAAGAGACGTGTACGTCACGTATAGGAAACATAAAAGAAACGTATAGGAAACACGTAAGAACCGCATAGGACACACAAAAGAAACGTATTGGTAACATATAAGAAACGTATAGGAAACATAAACGACACGTGTAGACAGCAAATAAGACCCGTATAGGAAACATATAGGACACGTATAGGAAACATATTAGAACCGTATAAGGCACAAATAAGAAACATATAAGAAACATAGAAGGAACGTACAGAAAACATATAAGACACGTATAGGAAATATGAAAGAAACGTATAGGAAACGTGTAAAAAACGTATAAGAAGCATGGAAGAAACGTATAGAAAACATATAAGAAAAGTATCGGAAACATATAAGAGACGTATAGGAAACACATAAGAGACGTACAGGAAACACATAGGAAACATATAGGACCCATATCGGAAACATATAGGAAACGTATGAGACTCACATAAGAAACATACAGGAAATATACAGGAAACACATAGGAAGCATAAAGGAACATAGAGGAAACAGATTGAACACATATAGGAAACATATAGGACACGTATAGAAAACACGTAGGACACATATAGTAAACATAAAGGAAACACATAGGAAACATATAGGACACATATAGGACATCTATAAGAAACATAAAAGAAACGTGTAGGAAACATACAAGAAACATATAACAAACATACAAGAACCATATGAGAACCGTATAGGAAACAAAAAGAATCGTAAAGGAAACACATAAGCCACGTATAGGAAACACCTAGGAAACATACAGGAAACATATAGGACACATTTAGGACACATTTAGGACACATATACGAAACATATCGGAAACATACAGGAAACATATAGGAAACATAAAGGAAACATATAGGAGACGTATAGGAACACATAGGAAACATATAGGAAACGTTTAGGAAACATCTAGGAAACTTATAAGACACATATAGGAACATATAGGAAACATATCGGAAACATACTGACCACATGTAGGAAGCATATAAGAAACGTATAGGAGACGTATACAAAACAGATAGGGCACGTAGAGGAAACGTATACAAGACGTATAGAAAACGTATAGGTTACTTATACAAAACGTATAGAAGCCATATGGGAAACGTCTACAAAACGTATAGGAAACATATAGGAAACGTATACAAAACGTATAGGAATCATATAGGAAACGTAAACAAAACGTATAGGAAAAATATAGGGAACGTATACAACACGTATAGGAAACGTACACAAAACGTATAGAAAACGTATACAAAACGTATAGGTAGCGCATACGAAACAAACCGCACACCGCACACCGCACACGCACAAACACACTGACGGTGCGGAAACCCAACGGAGTGCTGTAGGAGGGGCCGGGGGAGCGGCTCGCACCCAGGAGCCGGTCACCCCTACTACTACTACTACTACTACTACTACTACTACTACTGCTTCTACTACGACTACTACTACTACTACTACTACTACTACTACTACTACTACTACTACTACTGCTACTACCACTACTACGACTGCTGTTACTGCTACTACTGCTACTACTACTCCCATTACTACGACTACCACCACCACCTACTACTACTACTACTGCTGTCACTACGATACTACTACGACTACGACTACTACTACTACTACGACTACTACTGCTACTACTACTACTACTGCTACTACTACTACTACGACTGCTACTACTGCTACTACTGCTACTACTACTACTACTACTACTCCTACCACTGCTGTCACTACGACTACTACTACGACTACGACTGCTACTGCTACTACTACTACTACTACCACTACTACTACTACTACTACTACTACTACTACTACTGCTACTACTACTACGACTGCAACTACTGCTACTACTACTTCTACTAAAACTACTACTACTACTACTACTACTACTACTGCTACTACCTACTACGCAACTACTACTGATACTACCACTACTACTACTACTACTACTGCTGCTACTACTCTACTACTACTACGACTACTACTACTACTACTACTACTACTACTACTACTACTACTACTACTACTACTACTACTACTACTACTACTACTACTACTACGACTACTACTACTACTACTACTACTACTACTAGAGCGACTAGAACTACTACTACTACTACTACTACTTACCTACGGAACCACTACTTTACAACTACTACTACTACTACTACTACTTACTGCTACTACTACTCCTACACTACTATACCACTACCTAACTATTACGAGTAATAACGAAAATGATACTACTAAGTACGACCACTATACTATACCCACACCTACTACTACTGCTAGTATTACTACGACTACGACTACGGCTACGACTACGACTACTACTACGACTACTACTACTACTACTACTACTATACTACTACTTACTACTACGATACTACGCCTACTACTACTACTACTACTACTACTGCTACTACTACTACTACTACTACTACTACTGCTGCTACTACTACTACTACTATTACGACTACGACTACGACTGCGACTACTACGGTTGTGACGACTACAATGATTACTGTTACTACTACCACTACCACTACCACTACTTCTACTACTACTACTACTTCTACTACTACTACTACTACTACTACTACTACTACTACTACCAGTACCACTACTGCTACTACTACTACTACTACTACTACTACTACTGCTACTACTACTACTACTACTACGACGACTGGGGCTACGACTACTACTGCTACTACTTCTACTACTACTACTACTACGACTGCTACGACTACTACCAATACTTCTACGACGACTACTGCACCGACTGCTACGACTACTACTACTGATAGTATTACTACTACTGCTACTACTACTACTACTACTACTACTACTACTACTACTACTACTACGGCCACTAGGAATGAAACTACGAATACTATTAATGCCACAGCCGGGACTACGACTACGACTACGACTACTACTACTACTACTACTACTACTACTACTACTACTACTACTACTACTGATACAACTACTACTACGACTACTACTACTACTAATACTACGACTACCACTACTACTAACGACTACTACTACTCTACTACTACTACGACTACTAACTACTACTACTACGACGACTATTAACGACTACGACTACTACTAATACTACTCACGACTACTACTACTCTCTTACTCTTACTCGTACTACTACTACTGCTACGCCTTCTACTACTACTACTACTACTACACTACGCTGCTGCTTACTACTACTACTATACTACTACTACTACTACGACTACTAGCTACTACTACTACTACTACGACTACTACGACTACTACGACTATACGCGATACTCTACGACTACTACCGAAACGTTGCTGACGATACTACTAACTACTACTACTATACTACTACTACTACTACTACCACTACGACTACTACTACTACTACTACTACTACTACTACTACTGCTGCTGCTGCTGCTGCTGCTACGACTACTACTACTACTACTACTACTACTACTACTACTACTGCTACTACTGCGACTGCTACTACCACTACTACCACCACCACTACCAGCACTACTGATACGACCTCTCCTCCTAGTAGTAGTACTACTACTACTACTACTACTACTACTACTACTACTACTACTA